GATTTCCAACACATTAGTCCACATTGGTATAACCCTCAGCATATTCAACATTCTGAGCATTCTAAAAACCTGCACAGTGACCTGTTATTCTGTGATCAAAAATCTCCCTTTGACATCCTAATACGTAGCAACTATTGCAGATTTTCCGTTCTTACCGTTAAGGTACACCTGTGGTACTACTACTAATTAGTATTCATGACAATCATAATAACGGCGATACTGTGAAAAGGGAATTCAAAGCTTCTCTGGAGTTACCATTTCAAGAAGACACCACAAAGACAAGCTCACTTACAAACAATCCTCTCAGGTTTACAGATCTTGCAAATTCAATTCATGTAGTTTACCAAGTCTCTTGCAACGATTGAGAGGTCAAATACATACGCCAAAGTAGTTAAACAGAGTCAGTTAGGTTGTTCAAATCCCATAACCTAGCTAAACCAAAATTCGTTAATCCTAATAAGATAAGGATTCTGGGAAAAACCCTGACCATAACTATGCATGCAGATACACACAGGGTGGGACAGAGTGACAATCCTTAAAGCTAACTTACCTGGGTGAAGGAGAGATTGATAACTGTACCCTTGTTTATCGATTTAACACCAAATACATGCAACAGGAATGACTCAGCACCTGCTTCTGACATACAGACAAACATACTATTTATAGCACCAAAATGGCATCAGAAATAGAATATAAACTATATCTCAAAGTTATCGAGCTATCTTGCTATGAATAGGAACAAAAATTGTGTCCCAAACGTAATCCAGTGAATACTCTTTCACAAGTAGGCGAAATCAACGTAGAACCTCGCACACAAGCGCATCACTACAAGTTACCACACTTCACAGTAATTCACAGGTGAATAGAAAGACTCATATCCAAGTAGAGTTTTGTGACAGAATGAACAATTTGAAGAAAACAGTTAGTACAAAGATTCAAGCTTTAAAAGATGTCAAGGGCTGACTGCATCTGTGTCATTGTGACTTACTTTCAAACATATCACGCAGAACCTCCATCCACTGATTTCTATTGCCTCGGAAACCCCAGCCAGTCTACATCTTCCCACACGACCAGATCAACAGTAAGAAACTTAATCGACTGGTGTCACATCTTGGTCTGGTCATCCTGAACCCTCCTTTTCCAACCTAATCCAACTTTTTTAACAGGTCGCGTCAAGGTAGGTGCCTGTGGATTGGGATGCACAGTACATGTTCAAGCTATTTCATTTGATGAATAGGCACAACCTCATCAATCGACTTACCTGTCCCGCCTAGTACCCTTCGCGTGACCTCAACACTGTTCAGGCAGTAATCCCACCAAACGTGAGCAATGCTACGAAAAAACCTATGGTCAGAAACCTGTGATGGCTACATGTCTTCTATTTCCAACAGTCATGTATGACTACCGTATAAGAGGACAGAACGGACTGAGGCGCAGTTTACTCGTCCTTTGATAGGTAGTCGGATATCTCGTCACTCGGTGCCACAAAAGACTCAATCAAATGCCAAACAAGCCTTTCGTCAGCAACCAATACATTCGGGCTGATGTAACCCCTCAAGTAAGTGAGGTGGTCGATATATTCCACCACTTCAGTCCCAAACATTAAACTGGGTGCGGTTCCACACCAGTCCTAGAGCATCATCTTATATTTGACTGATTCGACGAGCATGCCAAACGTACTCAAATTTCTGCTCAGCGCGTTCAGAAGACCCTGGATTTTGTCAGCGTCTTCACCTAACAGGATAATGGAATTATCTACTACTATAGTGCCTAAATTTTATTCATATCACGGATTGTGATAAGACCAACCCCTGTAACGTTAGACAAAGAGGAGAAGGAGATCTTTAAGTAAATCTACAAGAAAATTGAATTAGGATGAATAGAATGGATATCGTTGATGGGCATAACTCACTTGATACCTCACTTTCGGCTAACATACTAAGATATGTTCGAATACACAACCTTTAACTGGGTGAAGAACACACCCTGAGGCTCTTTCAGTAGGAAACACTAGAGTAAGATTTCTCGGTCAGATGAAATACAGCTTGTGTCAGAAGTCGGTAAATTTTTCTGTTCCAGAAACTGGCAAGGGATGAATTCCTGATCGTTACACTCACGACCAAGTCATAACTGACTGATTCCGTCGGATTTGTTGTTCTCAAGCTTCACTTGACTCATCTATGTAATTAATTACTAAATAGTGGCATTCTTGGACACCTGTCGAGAACTCACACTGAAGGAGACACTACATCACAATCTCTGGTACAACAGGTCACTTAATAAAGTTAACCATCGGATTTCGTGAAATCCATTTTCGCACACGTTGTCACAGTGATAGACATGTGTAGTTCTGGAATTCTAAGGACGTTTAATCTGGATACCGATAGTGAGTGAACAAAATACGACAGTCGATAACTCACTTGGCTAACACAAAAAGGAGGACAGTACTTGACTGAATGTTCAATTCAACAGGAAGATTATAGAAATAGGGACACATAAAATGAGAACAGCTTTTGAGGTAAACGAATAAGTCTGTATATTAAAAGTGCAAGGAAGATCAGGGTCCCTAGACGCAGTAGAAATCAGCTGCACACGTGAGGTGAAAAAAGGCACAAAGAACACCATCAATTCGAATTTCTACCAGGTGAATTTTATGAATTTCAGGCATAAAGCGCTCATTTTGAGGGAACTGATATTCCAACCAAATAGCTCCTAATCACACTTCAAACTAAAGTTAACGCATATATATAATAAGCCTATGCAGCGCATCATTTCAAATAAATTTCCAATAACGTGAATTATAAGGTGTGCTGACTAGCGTTTTCACCTCCACATCAAAGTTCAAAAGTTGACAAAATGTCATCTAAGTAAATATTACACGCCAGTTGAAATGTCAGTGTGACCAGACTAGATCTTGCACTCATCCACGAAGCCTCTGTCGGTTGATTTGGGCCATGTTGACAACTACAAACTTTGTAGGCAGATTATATCAGAAATATGAATCAGAAGATGGAGATGCGATAAGAAATCTATTAAAACCGACAACAGTAGAGAGGATGCACCTTCTGAAAAATTAAGCATATCTAATTACTGTGCACCCATCACCTTTGTATCTTAACTAATTTCCTTTTATGATACTTTTTGGGTCACTTTCACCACTGCTTTGATAATTTTTTTCACTCTTTGTTGATATCTCACTACTGTGATGTTTGAGAAATGTAAACTTGAAATAATGCATAAATTTTCCATTTGCCATAATACATTTGTACGTTTCTCTGCTAGAAAATTGTAAAGGTTAGAAGTGCTGTAATTCATCATCTTGAGGTATCTGACAAAGAAAGGTTAGTAAGTGACGACAGAGCACAAGGACGTCCGCTTGATGTCGGTGACACACACAGACTTCTGGGAACTTTAAGATTTTAGTTTGTTAGTTTTGAAGCCGACTATGAACACATGTCGCCGGCATCGGTATGCTGCGAAGTAGTAGGGAGTGTTCCTTCTTCTCTAACCCCCCCCCCTTTCCATACAGAAGGCAGAAACAATGTTGCATTGCAGGAAAACACTGAACAGATATCAGCAATATGAATCCGCCCTCAGATCCCCATCACAGAGTAGCAATTTACGCTATAGTGGTAACTTTTTCTCGTCTTATCCCTATAGTAGGAGCCCGAGGGAACAAGCATATTTTGTCGGGTCATTGTGATATCCAAGTCCAACCACAACGTCAAGTTAGGAGCTATCAGTTGGGATTCACGATGACATTATGTTCAAGTAATACAATATGGCTGCAACTTATAACTTCAAAGTCATGAAGCATATCGAATTCTCAGCATTCTCTGCATAGAATGACTTAAAGCGGCAATAGGAAGAAATAAACCACGAATGATACCTGACTGACATAATAAATCTATGCAAATGATATTTGTACAACACTAGAAACGTTTACAAACTTATTTTGGACACAACATACATAAATGATTACAAATGAACACACACGTAGACACGGTTACATTTCCTTTTTCTAAAATTGTAATCAATATTTCGATAAACCACTACGGTTAGTTCCTCAGTTTCACGGTTGGAAGAAACTCCGTTGTTAATTACTACAGCTTAAAATGACTCAATAACGAATGAAGGAACAAGCGCACTCAATCACGTCGCCCATATCCAAACAGTAGGCAATAGGCCACACACACTGTGTGAAGGCTAGTGATGGTACTACCTGACTGCTCGAACCACGATAGGTGGAGCGAGGGTCGAACCCGTGGACCAATGTTTGATAGATCATTATCCCTGAACCAGTGAGCCATAGCTTCACTAAATACCACCTTAGCAACTCGGATAAAAAGCGTGGACAATAAAATAATTAGCATTGTGATATCAATCAATGATCCTGAAGCGAGAAAATCAAATTTGTGTGTCAATCAGTGATTGATTAACTGATTGTTCGATAAAGTGCAGACTATCAAACTATAATACATCACATAACAGGGGTCATACGGAATGATGATTGGAGATGAAATGAAAACAAGGGTAACCGCAACATTCACACAAGCAACCTTCAAGTTATCCGCCAGCTGAGTTACAGAATGCAGCAGCTGACCATGTCTTGGAGACTAGTTGGTAAAACACTTGGTCAGTAACCTGAAGGCCGCTGACCCAGACCTTGTCATGATCCGAGACTTAATTTTTCCGTCAATCATCACCGTGTATCAATTATATCCACTTGTTGAACAACGGACTATCGAAGACGCCTCACCAACAACTGCATGACGTGGACTTTGAGAGAAAACCCCACCAACAACAACAACTTTTCAATTTCAACTGTACACTAGACGTAAAAGAGGCAAGCAACTGAATAGCTAGAACACGAATTTAATCAAATACGATTTTTATTTTTAAAACATGTTAAATACACTCATGTAAGAAAGAATAGAAAGCTTTTTGAAGATGAGATGAATTAATTTGAAGTCTATCTCCCTTTCGCATGCATCAGATTCTCAATATTCCTCTTTAAATGGATATTCAGGATGTTCACTCATTCTACAAAAGAAAACAATTCAGAAAATACAATGGGATACATAACATAACAAAAATGCATACTTCACTGAAACTACCCATTTTAGACCAGTCAGTTCGAAGAATAACACTTTCCATCCTAGAAACTTGTCTGATAAAAGAAGCCCTAGTAAATGTGAACATTTGTGTCAGATGAATACCATATTATACATGTGATGTCCCGAAGACCTTGAGTGAACTGATTGCCATCATCCTCGTATGCGGCTAAAAATAGGAGCTTTCTTCGTAGCATAACTCGCATTTGGTGGAATCACCGTCTAAGCAATGTTGAGGTCAGGGAGATGACTACGAGACAAGACAACTAGGTCGACTGATGAGACTGTGAAGCATAGTCGACTGAGATGACATGAACATGTGCTGCACAGGCCGAGCTACACACCGCTTACCTCAAAGTGCAATGCTAGGAGAAACTGGATTAGGTTGGAAGAGGGCTCTGTGTGGCCAGATCAAGACGTGAGACCAGTCGATGAAGTTCCTGACTGTTAGTGTGAGCCTTGCAGGAAGATGTAGATTGTCTGGCTGACTGGAGTCCTCGAGACGATAAGAATCAACGGATGGGGACTCTTGGTGATATGGTCACAATAGCGTAGATGTATTCACTCTTTGGCATCTTCGAAAGATTGAATATTTGCACTAGACATTATCTTCAAATTAATAATTCGCTCATACACCTCGCTCCACTTTGATATCAGTCTTTTTTTATCCAGTTGTTCATTGTACGCTACTGTGAAGTGTCGCAACTGGAAGTGATGCACTTGTGTGAGAGGTTCTACATCGATTTTTTATTTCTTTGTCTATCATCGTCATCGGTTTTTGTTCAGTGTGTGTATATATTAAACAAGTGTATCGACCATCACGCTGACGTTCAGTCATCCGCGCTTGCATTTTAAAGGTGAGAATTAGAAGAAATCGACGGAGAAGTTTGTAAACCATCTCTGTACGGAAGTAAATTTCTAAGAATCGTCTGATACATATTGACAAAGATAACACTCAGAAGTTTCCCAATTCCATTCGGTTAATAACCTCACGCATCAAGTTGCGTTTCGTGATTTTATAACGTTCGAGCATTTCATCTATCATGAATTATTAAGTCAGGAAGTGCGGTAATGTGGTCTGATACCTTCTACTAGATGTCTAACCGATTTGGTATTACTCAGACCTGTATCCCCAGCGTTGAGACATTTAATTTAAATACTTTCTAAGTTAAATGGATTCTATTACGAACTACCGAGCCCTTCGATGACAGTGATAACCAGGATGCAGATAGCAATGGCTACATGTGACTAATCGCTTCTTAGACACATATCGCCTGTAACCTGATAAATAGATTAGTTAGACTAGATAGATTAGAAAGAGGGAGGCTGTATGGTGAATTTTTACGTAAGTGACTCAGCAGTTTTCTGCTGGTTTGTGTACACCTTATGTATAGGGGTTTACTCTATCCCACTATTATTATTATTATTATTACTATCCGTCCCTTGGGTTCCTAGTGGAACATAGGGCTTCAGTAGCACGTCGCCATGTCACTCCCTTCTTTACAGTCTTTTGACCTGGCTCCGCGACTCCCCACAAGCTTTCATTTCTTCCTCACACGATCTCCTCCATGCCACCCTCGGCTAAGACGCCCAACCACTCCTTTCCCATTTGGCTTCCACTTGACGACCTGGCCTGTCATGTGATGTCCCCAAACAGTCTTCTCAGTGTATGTCTAGTCCAATCCATCTCCACTTTCTTCTCCTGCATATTTGTTGGGCGATAGGTTCGTGGTTAATTCGTTGCCAGCCAACCAGAGTCCCTTGTTGCTTATTCTTATTATTCTGGACATCTGATCTCCATCTTCAGTATCGGGTGAGTGTAGGCGGCAGCTTTTGACGTATGTCTACAGTTTGTTGGAAATGCTTTTCGTAACGCGTCAAGCCTCTCAACCATCACATAGAAGCACTGACTCGACTGAATCAGTGTTCAAAATCCGGATCTTGTTCACGCTTTATGCTGAGTGGAGTGGAGTGCAGTGGATCTCCACACCTTTTACTTCAGATTATTGAAGGTCTATCTTGCTGTCTTTTCGATCCTGGCTTTGACATCCTCATCTGTGCCTGTGCCACCTGTAGTTGAAACGATGCTGCCTGTCTAGGTAGGTGGAAGGGACTGCTTCCTTTAGATTTCTCCCATAGATGGTGATTGGTGTTTGTTGTTGTTGTTGGTTGGGTATCTTCATCACCTCTGTCTTCTCTACATCCACTTGAAGTCCCATCTTTGCTGGTCTGCCTCTTCTGCCAACTTGTTGGTTTTTGCCTGTAAATCTTCGAGTTTGTGCGACTAGACATTAGACATAAACCATCATCGGCGGAATCCAAATCTTCTACAGTCTTTTCATCAATCTAGACAGCGTGTATCCATCTCACTCCTCACAGTTTGTTGCATGATCCAGTCAATTAATATGGGTTTAAAACTTGGGCACTGTAGTAAAATCTAATTCCTTATTGGATTTGTTTATTTGATTTGTAACACACAGTGATATAGTATTATTTACTTGATGACGTTTCGAGCGTAAATTATTGCTCATATGATTATGAACAACAAATTAAATAAGCAAATCTGATATGGAATGATCCAGTCAAGTCAAGTCGACCACAATGAGGTAGGTCATCGGTGATAGTAGGCAGCAACCTTGTCTTACTCCTGTTTGTCTTCACTTCAAAGGCGTCACTGAGCTTTCCATTGTGAATCACTTGAGATGTAGCATCATATAGCATATAGCTGTTGAATGAGGTAGATAGAGATTTGTGGCACTAAAACAGTTGTGTTGAAGCAGCTGCCAAATTACTTTTCGGTCGACTCTGTCTGAGGCCTTTTGAAAGTCAATGAAGTTGAGGTTAAAAGTCGACTGTCATCGAACACAATTATTCATTTTAAAAATTATCCTATCGATTTTAACTTGAGAAGAGTTTCGTTTCAAACAAATGCTGTATCACTTAAAACTGCTGCATTCAGAAACCAATGACTTCACCAACCCAGTTGTCAGTCGTGTAGATATGATGATGTCAAATAAATCACTTAACTGGGTGTACAATACATGACATGAAAAAAACTCACTGCTGTAATTCGAACTGACGCTTATTCAAGCCTTTTGTATTTAATTGATGCATTTCTTCATTTGATAATTTGAAATCGAATATCTACAGAAAACGAAAAAATAACATGAATCTGAAGCGCTACACGAAACAATCACAACACATAGTCAAACCCCAACCTATTTTCATCCCTCAGTCAATTTCATGTAGTACACTGCACTTTCACATAGCATGTCTCCACCAAAGGTACGAGAATTCACACACAACCAAGAAATGCGAAAAGCTACTCAACGCATCATTAAGTACTCTCTAGATCATGTACAATTATGGATTATGATAACCAAAGTTGATGGAAAATACGACGCCGAGTCCAATATTCAACTACAAAGAGAAACATCCTCAGTCAACTTGACGCAGTTCAGCTATTCTAATGGAACACTGAAATATTAAATGTGAATCTGACAAACAACCCCACGTCATCCTGAGAAATAAGCGTTTTCGTTGCACAATCCCCTTCCGAAAGTATTCACACAAAAAATGCTACAGAATAATTCTACTTGTAAATTACTCTGCAATCAAACAATAACCAGATGGATATGCCATAATAACATCACTATCCTGGAAAAGTCTAGAGAGGTATACTTATACATTGAATGCAACTCAACTCAAAAAATTCATATATACCACGCGACAAGTCACACTTATTGTGCAAAGGCTAAGCGAACTAGTGTTCTCCAGGTCAAACAGGGGAGACCGAGATTTGAACCAAGGACAAACGTTGCTTAAAAGTCAAGCGTTTCGTCAATGAACAACATAGGCTTCAACAACCGATGATGACTATTGAAAAGCCAACAGACTATCAGGAAAATTGTCCATAACTTTTGTTGTCAATAGTTCTCTTCATGATTGCTCAAATCCACTGCAATCGTAATAATCCTCGAAACCCCAAGACAAGTAAGTCATTATGCTACTAATCACAATGACTTCAATTTTTACACACTCCCCGTGAACACCAATAAAGTGATTGATTTCAGTCACTACACTGACGTCTTTTAATTAATATACTCAAAAGAGCAAATTTAGCGTAGATGTGTGCAAAAATTATGGAGTAGGCACAATTAATTTATCACGAGAAGAACTAAGCCAATGCAACATTAGCATACCTGGAAGTTTTCTTCTATTCGCTTGGCTGTTACAGATTTAGGCACAACTATAAGGTTTCTTTGCACTAAATAACGCAGGAGAACTTGAGCCGGAGTCTTTTTGTGATGTTCAGCGATTGACACAACCCACGGTTCCGTAAGCAGATTACTTCTCCCTCTACAAACCAAAATAAGCACAATTAAACGATAGCTTTCAAGAGAAAAAGGTATCGTAGCTCATATGTAGATTTGTCGTTTAACAATCTAAGATTGCAGCATAGCTCACCTACCTATCTGGCAAATGTTTATATACACGGATACGAGCAACAATTACTGCGCAAAGTTGTATTATACTAAACTGCTGCCCAGGCCTAATTAGGTGGAGCGAGATGTGGACTCACCATTCATTGTTTGAAAGCTAGCTCAGTGCCTATCCGAAAAGGACCACAACTCAGCTTTTTGATAAATACATTCAGTCTTAGATTACCATTCTTCTTTACGAGATGATTTTCCTGAACAAGCTCGGATCAAACTTCCAACTTCAAACACACTGAGATTAATACACATATTACGTAAATCCAAGTCTGTTTTCTGACTTGGAAATCCATATCATGTTCAAACTTTTAGTTAAGGTAGTCACAGCTTTCTCAAGCAAGAGATGTGGCCCAAAATCCACAATAAGAACCTATCAGCAATTATACAGGTGCGTTCGATCAATCACGTGAATAGCAATAGCGAAGATGATACTTACAAGACGCTTTATTAAAAGGGTTATAATGACGAGCTTTGCGACGTTCAGCTCATAAGCGTATTTCACAGAAATGGTGAGTTGCCTCAGTCTAACAAGTCACCTGACCTGAAAGGCAGACAATAAAAATCAAAGGAAAACTCCCACAGAAGTGCACAACTTCAACTTGCCACACTTCATGCAAAGAAAAAAGGAGAGGAAAAAGACCCATATTAAAGAAGACAAAAGTGGTTGAAAGAAGAAGGAATTTGAAATTCAAATTTAGTAAAAATATTCAAGCTTTAGAAGACATCAAAAACAGCGCCACTGTGAATGCCATTCGAAATTTCACCGACCGTCTCTAACCACTGCTTTCTACGATTTCGAGGAGCCCAGCAGTTATCTACTCCTCACTACACGGCTCCGACCGACAATCTGAGACTATACACACTGATATCACATCCTGGTAGGCTACCCAGAACCCCCTTCCAACCTAATCCAGCTCCACCTAGCATAGCACATCGATGAAGGCGGCTGTGGGTCAGCATGCACAGTACATGCCCAAGTCACCTCAGTCGACTATGGCTCACAATCCTATCAATCGACCCAGCTGTCTTGTCTAGTAACCTTCCCCAAATCTCCACACTACTCACACGGTGATTCCACCAAACACGAGCAATACTACGAAGAAACCTGTGATGAAACCTGTAATCGCTTCGTATCTTCTACTTTAAACAGATATGTCTCATAGCCGTGAAAGCGGACAGAAAGAAGAACTGCAGAGCGATATTCTCGTCCTTTGATTGATAGTCGGATATCTCGTCAATTTGTGCCACAAAATACGCAGGCAAATGCCAAACGGGCTTTTGTATCCGAGTTGAGATTTCGTCAGCCGCTAGACTGATGCAACACCCCAAGTGGAGTGGTTGATACATTTCACCACCTTAATAACTATCATTAAACTGGGAGTGGTTACAGACCAGTCCTAAAGCATCATTTTGCATTTGACAGGTGTGAAACGCATGCAATCATACTCAGATTTCTGCTCAACGTGTCCATAAGACCCAGCATTTTGTCAGCGTCTTCAATTTGCAGGACAATATAATCTGAAAACTCTAATTCAACCAGATGGCCTCCAGGGAGTAGATCAATCCGTGTGAATTCAGATGTACTTAAGGTTGTGTCCGCTAGTACGTCTATCACAAAATTCAATAGGAATGGAGACAGTGGACATCATTAAGTGTCGTCAGAATCGACAACTCTCCACAGGCCTTTACACGGCTGTGTGCATTCCGGTACAGAGCTGTGATAAGCGCTATATACTTGCTCAACACTCCCTTCACAGCAAGACACCGACACAACACCTCACAGTCAAAAGAGTCAAATGCCATCTTCAGGTCAACAAACATGGCAAGTATCAGCTGTTGGCCAGCATGTTTGTTTCAGGACCTGGCGGAGGAAGAAAATCTGACCGATGCACTCTCGTTCTGGTCTTAAACCTGCCTGCTATTCTCAAGCTCCAGTTAGGCGTCAGACAACTATGAATCCTAAGACACAATATTAGTCAAATTCATTCTTTGCATCATCAGAATTGTAGTCGGTTGGTGCGTGGGTGGAGATTGTAAATAGGCATTGGTTGGTCTCAAGATCTTTCCTGGTTCTTACAGACCCATTCAGTCGGACAGCAAACAGACGGCTATTGACTGGTATCTATTCGAGAAGCGCACCTTCTGCCTTACAGCTCAATGTCATGACTACACCAGCGAGTTCACAAGAGCTAACCACGGGGCCTATGGATACTCATTACGTGAATTTTGAAGATTTATACCACTGCTCAGGTTATGTCAACTTAATAACCACACTCGGTTTTGTATACTGTCTCAGAAACACAGGATACATCCATATCTCGAGATTCCAGAGTTCTGTCGAACGATGCTTGTTGTCTCGTTTGGCATAGAGTTCGGACGTTGAAAGCACTATAATGGTGACTGCTTTTCGTCTTACCACTATCCAATAGACTTTTCTGGTATGGTGGAAACTCGAGAAAACAAGCATCCCAGCCATTGTAGCTCCTTGGATAACTGTGGCATACAATCCCGACCCACCACGACAAGACAGCAGTTATCGGCCGGCTCGAGAGAAAGTAGTCACTGACCCAACTACGACGAGTCGGTGGCTAACCCACAAGACATAGTCTTAATTTCAGGGGACTAATTACGGTTGGACAAACATTACAGATTGCATAAACAGGGCAGACAAGAATGAATAATTTCAACCTTTATAACAAAGATCGGCAGATAAAAACAAGATTCAACGGCACCAAATGTGACTATCGTGTGAATTTGTAGGAGGAAAAATATGACACGGTATACCAGCAGGTGAACCCAATGGTGCATATGCAGTCACAGTTAGTCCAATCGACTGTGCATATTCAACTAATTTAGTGTTAGGGAAATTTGCATGAATTTCAATTTGTAAATTCACTGGTTTAATACGACAATGTTTCAGAATACTTTCAATTTGTCGCTTATTGAAATTTGACAGTCCAATAGATTTTGTTAAACCTTCGTCCACCAGCTTCTCCATTTCCTTGGATAAAGCAGAGTAATATGCGAAGATACGTATTAAAATTATGATTACTTTGAAATCTGGGTTGAAACAACATTGTTTGTGTCGCTGAAGTATTGGATGCCGGTTAGCATAAACATTGACATTCCTGTGATTGAGGACCCATAGTGACATGAATGAGAATGTCACTAGTGCAGATGTATTCACATTCCTTGACGTTTTTTAAAGATAAAATTTTGCACTAACCTTTATCTTCAAGTTTCATATTCGCTAACACAACCTTGTCTACTTTGATATCACTTCTTTTCTATTCACTTGTGAAGTGAATTTACTGTGAAATGTGGCAACTTAAAGCAATGCACTTGTGTACCAGGTTCTATGTTGATTTTGTACGTCGATCTGTCTGTCTGTGTAACGGTTCTCGTTGTAACACACTAACACAAAGCCACGAGGAGCCAAGATGAAAGACAGTGAAGAAGAAAAGCGAGAATTCAAACGATGGAAGCTCTTTTTCATTGTGATGCAAAATAAAAAGAGAACCATGATGCAATTATACTCTGTTAGAATGCTTAAGTTCTACCCTTAAATCAAGAAATAAACAGTTCTAAAAAGAGATGATAAGCAACAAAACGATGATGAAATCCGGTAAGACGATTAAGACGATGACGTATGGATCTATCTACACCACTGACATTGATTCTAGGCCTTATCATCTAATGTCCTCAAACACTAGATTCGGTTGTTAAGTGGAGCCCAAACAAGAAGTCTGAATTTCGTTACGCCACTCAGACCAACAATTAAAGACTCCATCGATTGATGTCTGGTCGCCTCTAAACTTTATCTGGACTACGCATTTCTAAGAACACATACGAGTAAATTATCATCTGCATATAGTAAACTAATATTCCCCAACTACAATGTCAGCTAATTAATATTAGACATCTAATAGTGAAGACAAATATTGTCATATCATTGTAATGTTCATAAATGACACTGAATTCGAACTGAGTGTCCACGTAATCTTAACCCGCATACAAAAGGAAGTTAGCAACCTGCCACATCATTACCTTCTAATCTTTCTTCACGTCTTTCAACTAATGATACTACAACATCTTCAATTTCTCCTAGCTCTGCAGCCTTCGACAACGATCTGAATCCACAGAACAGCATCCCTGGTCTCCTTAACATAAGTTCAAAATTACTTATCGCGCCTTCAATGTCACCACGCTACATCAAATTGGTCAACAGGCTTCATTGTCAAAGACTATAGTAAATCGGACCATGGATGTGTGCTGTGTTTGTGAGACACGCATACAGGACCCAAGTGCGGTTATTCACCTAACCTCTCCTGAACAGTCTGATGAATCCGCAAAATCTACCCTTCCAGTTTTTAGAGATTCCATCGCTAGCTCTCGCAGTCTTGCAGGTGTAGGCATAGCATTACGCACTAGGCCAGGAAACTCACTAACAGACTGGATCCCAGTAGATAGTCGCCTCTGCGATGTCCGGCTGAACGGCACGATGAGAACTAAAAGCAATAGTGAGACTTGCCATTTTCTCTCAGTAATCTGTACTTACGCACCCACTGACTGCAGTGCAGATGAAGTGAAGGACGAGTTCTACCGAAAACTGTCTAGCCTCCTCTCGAAAGCCAAATGTTCAGACCCACATGGTTGTCGCAGGTGACTTCAATGCACAGGTGGGTAGACTGAGTGAGGCATCATCATCATCATCATTATCAACATAGGACCAGGCATTACTGCGTAACGGTCCGAGTTGCCACACCTCATATCAGCACATCAAGTAAAAAGGTAGTGAGGTGAAGGATGAAGATAAGTGAATGCAGTCAAAAGAAATATAAAGTACGAGAAGAAAGGAAAGAGGAGTGACAAAATAGTGAGATTCGGTATAGCGTTGTTAAGATGAGGATAATGTGTGTATACATCTGCGCCACTGACTTCGGTTCTGAGCCATATCACCTAGGGTCTCCAACCACTGGTTCCTCTTGTCCCGTGGACCCCAACCACCTAGTCTGCATCGTCCTACATGGCTTAAACCAACAGTCAGAGACTTCATACATTGGTGCCATGTTTTAGTCTGGCCACCTCGGGCCTTTTTCCAGCCTGAACCCACCTCAGCCAACATTGTGTGACGAGGCAATCGGTGACTAGGCATACGTAGTACGTGTCCCAACCATCTCAGTCGATGAAGGTTCACAACCTCGTCGACTGACTTACCTCTTCTCCCTAAAACTCTACACCTAACTTCTGCATTACTCACATGGTGACACCACGGAATACGTCCTATACTACGAAGGCAACGGTGGTCAAATACCTGTAACCTTCTCATGTCTTCCACTTTCAATGGCCATGTTTCACAGCCATACAGTAGAACAGAGCGGACTGCTGTGCAGTACACGCGACCCTTAATAGACAAACGAATATCACGGCGGCGCCATAGGTGGCGCAAATTGGCAAAAGCCAATCGAGCCTTTTGTATCCGTGCAGAAATCTCATCGGCAACTAACCCACCAGGGTTGATCCTACTTCCCAGGTAAGTGAAGTGGTCAACACACTCAACCACTTCACTCTCTATTGTTAACCGCGGTACCGCTGAAGACCAGTCCTGGAGCAAAAATTTGCATTTGGGTGGTGAAAATCGCATCCCAAACATTCTCAAATTCCCACTCAAAGTGTTCAGAAGACTCTGCATCTTGTCAGCGTCTTCACCTAACAGGACTATGTCATCTGCATATTCTAGATCTAAGGAAAATTCACCTGTGATCCGGTCAACGTCTTTGTAATTAGGTGACGAGAGGGAAACCTCCATAAGAATATCTATGATAAAATTAAATAAGAATGGGGATAGTGGGCATCCTTGACGGACACCACTTGATGAGTATAGCTCCCTGGACAACTCACCATAGGCTCTAACATGCCCACAAGTGTTCGAGTAGAGAGCTTTCAATAAGGTGATGTACTTACTAGGCACGCCTTTCAGTGACAGACACTGCCATAAGACTTCTCGATCAACGGAGTCAAATGCCGCCTTCAGGTCGAGAAATACAGCTATTGTCGGGCGTCTGTAAGCATGCCTATGTTCCAGGACCTGGCGCAGTGTGAATATTTGGTCGATACATCCACGGCCAGGTCTAAAGCCTGCCTGGTTTTCTCGGGCTTGCTGTTCCCGAGCTCCACTCAGGCGTCGGAGAATTATAGAACTTAGGATCTTAGACACTATGTTTGTCAGGCTGATTCCTCTGTGGTTATCACAAGAGGACTTCTCGCCTTTCTTGAAGACTGGGATGATCAGTGACTTAGACCAGTCGGAGGGGATCGTATTTGATTCCCATATACTGGCTAACACTTCCGTTAGCCTGACTAAGAGAACTCTACCACCATTCTTGTATACCTCAGCAGGTAGTCCGTCTGGTCCTGCTGCCCTTCCCCGTTTCAGGCTACCTACCGCTTTCTCAACTTCTTCTAGTGTTGGGGGACCTGTCTCTATGTCCCATTCAGGGTCCGACTGGATAGCGGGCAGCGCAATGGTGGCTGGAGGCCAGTTAAACTGTTCCTCAAAGTGTTCTGCCCATCGTCCCAGTCGCCTTCCCTGCGAGTGAATCGCCGATCCGTCCTTCTCCGCTATAACCTCACTAACTGTTGTTGACCATTTCCCCCCAGTCTCCTTAATAAGTCTAAATAACTGTCTACTGTTACCGATCGCCGCTGCCTTTTCCATCTCTTTAGCCTTTGCTGCCCACCACTGTTCACGATCGTTGCGCAGACTTTTCGTCAGTTTATTTTTAAGTTGCGCTCGCTCTTCATTGTACTCAGAGCCTGCAGGGATGCATTCACGTGCATCCATTAGTTTGGAAGAAGCTGCTGATATCCACTGGCTCTTTTTAGCCATTATCTTGGAGTCGGCTACAGTCTCCAGTGCTGCTTTTACAGTAGACTGAAGATGGCACCAAGCTTCTTCTGGATGAGTGACAGTCTTTTGTTCCGATAACTGCCTAGCCAACTTCTCACTGAACACGGCTTTGGTGTTTTCGTTGTCCAGCAGAACTCGTAGTGGTTTTGTTGCCAAATTTTTTCTACGTCCATTGAGACGCAGGCATATACGTGCTCGGACCAACGCATGATCGCTGTCCAAACACGTACTCCAGAAGGAGCGGCAGTCTTCCACCGATCCTCTCCAGCGATGACTAATAGCAATGTGGTCTATCTGTGTCCATCGCTGAGTCGAGCTCGGTGGACGCCAGGTCAGACAGTGCCTTTCTTTATGTCTGAAATTTGTGCTGGCTAAAAATAGGCGGTTATCTGAGCATAGTTGTAATAGGCGATCACCGTTATCTGTACGTTCAGCTGGGATTCCGAAAGTGCCACCTAAGTGCCTTTCTGCCTCACTCAGTCTACCCACCTGTGCGTTGAGGTCACCTGCAACAACCACTACGTCCGAACGTTTGGCTTTCGAGAGGAGGTTAGACAGTTTATGGTAGAACTCGTCCTTCACTTCATCCGAACTACAGTCAGTGGGTGCGTAAGCAGAGATTACAAAGAGACAACGGCGAGTCTCACTATTCCTTTTAGTTCTCACTGTGCCGTTCAGCCTCATAGCGCAGAGGCGACTATCAACTGGGATCCAGTCTAGTAGTGAGTTTTCTGCCCTGGTGCTTAATGCTATACCTACACCTGCAAGACCACGAGAGCTAGCTATCGAATCTCCAGAAACTCGAAGGGTGAATTTTGCAGATTCACCAGATTGGTCAGGAGAGGTCAGGTGAATAACCACACTTGGGTCCTGTATGCGTGTCTCACAAACACAGCACACATCCATGCCCGAGTTGCTAGAGTCTTTGCCAACGAAGCCTGTTGGCCAATTTGACGGAGGGTGCGGACATTGAAGGCTCCAATATGTAATTTGGAGCGTGGTTTAAGGAGACCAGGGATGCTGTTCTGTGGACTCAGATCGTTGTCGAAGGCTGCAGAGGTAGGAGAAATTGAAGATGATGCAGCATCATTAATTAAGAGACGTGAAGGAAGATTAGAAGGTAATGATGGAGGAGGAGGATAGCAGTCAGAAGAAACTTGGGTGCTGACAGAGTTGTGAGGGCGGTTGACACTTCCCGGCTGCCCACACCGTGGAAGGCTATTTCTTCTTAAGGTACCTGAAAGAGATTTGTGTGACCGCAGAGCCCATCGGACATCTGCTTGAGGCCTGTCACACCCAGCCTTTTGAGTATGATTATTTTGAATTTTTGTATTTTTGGGGCCGGATGAGCGAAAGGAAACGACAAGTGAACCAACACCGCCGGCCCGGCAGACCGTGGGGCGTGGTGGAGTGTGTTATTTTTGGGGCCGACCTTTTCTAACCCCCCCTTCCACTGAGAAGGCAGCATCAGCTTGGCACTGCTGGTCATCCAAGGGAAACACCTTACTGCTGTCACACCCCATCCAGCTAGCAGCAGTACGACTTCGCCCTCAGACCCCCATCATAGTGTAGCAATTTACACTATAACGGTAACTGCTTTTCGTCTAACCACTACCCAACAGACCTTTCTGGTATGGTAGGACCTCGAGGGAGCAAGCGTTCCACCAGCATAGCTCGTTGGGTCATTGTGATATGCAAGCCCGACCACCACGTCAAGGTAGCAGCTATCGGTCGGGACTGAGTGAGGCAGCAAGCTACAGAACGCCGTCAATCGTCCAGAAGAAGCTTGGTGCTTTCTTCAGTCTGCTCTAAAAGCAGAACCGAAGATAGTAGCCAACTCCAAAAGAGTGGCTAAAAAGAGCCAATGGATATCAGCAGCTTCTTCCAAACTAATGGATGCACGTGAACGCATCCCTGCCAGCAAGCTCTGAATACAATGAAGAGACAGCACAACTTAAAAGTAGAGTGAGAAAAAGTCTACGCAACAACCACGAACAGTGATGGGCAGCGAAGGCTAAAGAGATATCGAAAAGGCGGCGGCGATTAATAACAGCAGACAATTATTTAGACTTCTTAAGGAAACTAAGGGGAAAAGGTAAGCAATGGTTAGTGAGGCTATGGAGGAGAAGGAAGGTTTTGCGATTTACTCGCAGAGGAGACGACTCAAACGATGGGCAAAACACTTCCAGGAACAGTTTAACTGGCCTCCAGCTACCATTGCGTTGCCTGCTATCCAGTTAGATCCTGAATGGAACATTGAGAAATGCCCCCCAACACTTGAAGTCGAGAAAGCTGTAGGTAACCTGAGACGAGGAAGGGCGGCAGGACCAGACGTACTAACTCCTTAAGTATACAAGGATGGCGGTAAGGTGCTCTTAGTCAGGTTAACGGGGGTGATAACCAGTATATGGAATTAAATACGATCCCCTCTGACTGGTCTGAATCGCTGATTCTTTCAGTCTTCAAGAAAGGAGAGAAGTACTCTTGTGATAACCACAAAGGAACTAGCCATGGGTATATCAACCAAATATTCACACTGCACCAGGTTTTGAAACAGACATGCTTACCGACGCCCAACAATGGCTGTATTTCTCGATCTGAAGGCAGCGGCATTCGACTCCGTTGATCGAGAAGTCTTATGACGATGTCTCACTGAAAGACGTGCTGAGCAAGTACGTCGCCTTATTGAAGGCTCTCTACTCGAAAACTTGTGTGCTTTTTTAGAGCCTATAGTGAGATATCCAGGGAGCTGTGCTCATCGAGTGGTGTCCGTCAACGATGCCCACTCTCTCTATTCCTATCCAATTTTATCATACATTTTCTTATGGAGGTCTCCCTCTCGTCACCTAATTACACAGAGGTTGACCTAATCGCAGGAGAACTTTCGTTAGACCTAGAATATGCACATGACAAAGTCCTGTTGAGTGAAGAAGCTGACAAGATGCAGAGTCTTCTGGACACTGAGTGGCAAATTGAGAATGTTTGGGATGCGTTTCTCACCACCATCACCATCACCAAATGCAAATTGTTACTCCAGGATTGGTCTTCAACGGTGCCTCGGCTAACAGTAGGGAGTGTAGTGGTTGAGTGTGTCGACCACTTCATCTACCTGGGAAGTAGGATCAGCCCTGCCCTGGTGGCTAGCTCAGTGGCCGATGAAATCTCTGCACCGATACAAAAGGCTCGATTGGCTTTCGCCAACTTACGCCACCTATGGTGCCACCGTGATATCCGTTTGTCTATTAAGGGTCACGTGTACTGCACAACACTCCAGTCTGTTCTACTATATGGCTGTGAAACATGGCCATGGAAGGTGGAAGATATAAGAAAGCTGGCTTCAGGTGTCTGACAACCGTTGCCCTCGTAGTATAGGCCGTATTCCGTGGTGTCACCACATGAGTAACACAGAAGTCAGACTCAGGTGTAGAGTTCTAGGGAGAAGAGATAAGTCAGTTGACATGGTTGTGAACCTTCATCGACTGAGATGGTTGGGACACGTTATGTATGCCAAGTCGCCGTCTGCGTCATCACACAATGTTGGCCGAAGTAGGTTCAGGCTGGAAAATGGTTCGAGGCTCGATGCCAGACTAAAATATGGCATCAATGTATGAAGTCTCTGACTGTTGGTTTGAGCCATGTGGGGTGATGTAGACTGGGTGATTGGGGTCCGTGGAACAAGAGAAATTAGTGGTTGGAGACTGAATCTAGGGGATATGGCTCAGAACCGATGTCATTGGCGCACATGTATACACACATTATCCTCATCTTAACGACACCATACCGAATCTCACCATTTTCTTATTCTTCCCTTCTTTCTTTTAGTACTTTATATTTCTTTGACTGAATTTTCTTTTCTTCACCTTCCACTTCAAGGCCTCTTCCTTGATGTAGTGATATGAGCTGTGGCAACTCGGACCGTTACGCAGTGATGCCTGGTCCTATACTGATAGATGAAGCAACACTAAATATCAGAAATTAGTAACCCTGGGAGTTAAACAGTCTAAATGACAAGCACAAATACATTAGATATTTTTCCACAACCACAACTAGTGCATAATGACTAACAGTTTAAATCCTGAATAGTTTTATTTATTTTTAAATCTTGACTTGGTATAAACTACAAAGGACTTGGAAACCAAAACACCACAAAACAGAATAGCGTCTCAAATTTAACCAACACAGACAACTCAGTATTATAAGAAACCAGTAAAACTTAGCAAAAGTTCAAATTAAAATTCAAACAATGAACAAACCTTCCATGTTTCTTCGTGAGGGACATCATCCAAACAAAGTCGGCCATCTGGACCAGTGGGAAAGAAGATCTTCCATGCTATCCAGACAACTAGAATAGTACTATGTCAGCCTTACTTGCAACGGAACAGGCCAATGGATCAAATACAAATCCAAGTAGTCTAAACGTAAGTTCTTCAACGTATTTTCACACGCCTTTCTCACATGCTCCGGGCGGAAAAATGTGTTCCACAACTACGAAATTAACTAAAATCATATGAATTACCTTGGAAGTTATGAAAATATCTTCCCTTTTCAAACTGAGTTCCTTCATTGCATCTTCCAATGCTTTACCTATCTCTGCTTCGTTGTTATAAAGATAAGCACAGTCAATATGACGATAGCCAGCTTCAAGGGCTTTCTTCACAGCTGCACCAACTTCACCTGGTGGACTCTAGAAGGAATATTACTGAAGAATGTTCCTAGCTTACGTTCCATGTGCCCAGGCCAATAATAGGAATAGAATGACCATTTTCCATCTTTAAAGAGTTCATGTTGGGCCTGTAACGCAAAATATTTATCTGTTGACTATTAAGCAACAGGCGATTTACCAGTACAAATGACTACACTAGTGGGAAAATAGACACGGTTAGGTGAAATAAATTTCTTATTTAATATTCAAAAAGGAGAACGAATATCTAATTACTTTACATCGTACCTAACACATGACAGGTGTATTTTTCTCTGCAAACCGTCAGATTTTTAGCGACTGTTATGACAAGCAACGGACACTCACGTAGTATCTACAACTAAACGAAAACCCTCCTTGCAATTTCTTGTTGATTAGTTTACTTCATCTAATTTATCGGTCTCTCTTGAAATATGGGTTCCTTGAGAGAACGCCCAATATTACCTCGTTTCATTTACATGTTATTTGCTCGCTGGTAGCTAGCAGTGGATTCCATGACGCTCGTTTTCTCGTATTTAGAACTCGTCAGTTAGATTCACCCGCATCTAAGTGTGTGATGGCGTTCCCATCCGGACTCAAACCTAGCAGCCATCGCTTCAAACACCAAAGCGTGATTCACTAAGGTATTGAGCCATAACAGCCATTTCTTCTTCAATAAGCACCATTTACCAATTGTAGATGCTTGTCATTTCCCGCTGGTTATCATGGTGAACCCATCTGATAGCTGGTATCTTGACGCAGTGGCTGCGCTTACATGTCACATGGACCCAACGAGCTATGTTGATGGAGCACTAACACATATGAGTTCTTATTATACCACAAAGATTACCTGGATATTAATGAGACAAAAAGCACTTGCCGTTACAGTGTAAATTAATACACTATTATGGGAGTCCAAAGGTGAAGTTGTACTGTTGATTAGATCAGTGACATCACTGAGGCGTTTCCCACACAAAACGAGGAGTAGCACGCTAATGTTATTGTTGTTAATAAAAAGAATATGCTCAGATATGATAAGCATATTACCAAGCGATTTAAGCCACACGTGAGCATATGTACAAATACATTGCGGGGGATGGGGTTTGACTAAGGAAGTACCACCTGGTTTGCTGCAGAAAAGACGACAGTGACTTGTTTGCCAGAAATATCGTAAGAATGCTTTGCGTACAGTAGTGAGACAATGTTGCACCCCACCTCTTAAACACACGGTAGTTTTCCCAAAAATATTGCATGTAAACATACAGCATAATTTAACACACTTCGATTTCGTTATCTCTGCCTTAAAGCTGACCGGTTGCACACTGACAGTGCTACTTGAAATGATTGATCCGAACATTTTGGGTTGCATTTCTTTCGATATTGACTTTTACTTCGTTTCGTTTAGTCGAATTTGGGTTAAACTTTACACACATCCGAAACCGACCACTCTTTTCCCAATATCGATTCGAGGACTTTCTTTTCTTCTTGTGGCTTATTTTTAACCCACCGATTATCATTCGTCATAGGCACTAGTGAATTATTCGTGCTTGCTGAATAGTAGATTTACGCTTTTTGGCTTTATTGCTCAATGAGCGAACTCTAGGGGCAAAGTGATACAGAACTCATGCCCTCTCTCACGTTTGACCCCATGCTACATGACAGCATGATATGATATACTGAAACAAAGCAGTAGCGCACCATTAAACAATGTCAACACATTAATACGACAACTAGAAGGCAAACGAACTAATCTAATGTTTAGGCGCTGCCTAGGCAGTGCCTAGTGGCTATAGCTATAACCACTAGCAAAAAATACGAGCTACAAACTCAATATACTACTGAGGATACCCTTCGCTGTTCCTGAATAACAAAAGCTACAGATGTTGGGTAAGCAGACAAGTAATGTGAAGTTATTTGTATATTCATACCCGTTGGACTCCCAGGAAAACATTCTCAGAAAACAAAGGCAGTACCAAATACCAACCAAATGCTCAAACTATTATAACTGGACTTACATACAATGTTCGAAGGCAAGAGAAATACTTCCCCAAAACGAAGAAGCTCAAATGAAAGTAACATTTATACTTTACATTTTATCTTTCAAACACAGCTCAGGGTCACCTGTTCAATATCCAATACCCGTTTTCCTAGCTTATGGGAACCAGTTGATATGTTCGGGCTCGCTTCCTGGTTTTGCGGAGCACTTTCAGGTCTTTGATGGACTCCAATGCAGTAGATCCAGACACTAGACTACTATAACTGCTGTATAAAGAACCGGAGGTTTGAGTATTGGTTAGTTCTCCTGGAACTATGGTTCAGATTCAGATTTGTCATTTGAGGGTAGGAGGTTGGGATCACATATTAGTCCTTTTGCAGTTGATTTCCGTGCTTGTCCAGTCATCATTTGAACGGGTCAATTGATGATGCGGACACCACTTCTTCTGGGAGTCGGTTCCAGGCGTTGATTACTCGACGCGAGAACTAGTACCCTGTGGAGACTGTGTTCGTTCTTTGCTTTTGTAGTCTCCTACTATGTTCTATGAGGTGTTCCGACCTGGTAGAAAGTAAAAAAGAAGACAGGTCAGGTCTAAAGTCACTTCTTAGAATCCTGTATGGCATGATAAGTTCTCCTCTCTATCTGCGGTAGGACAAAGTGAATAGGTTCAGCTCTTTAAATCGGTCTTCATAGGTGGGGCCAGTCATCACAGGGACCATGCGAGTGGCTGACCCCTGAGCTATTTTTAGAAGGTGTGCATCACCGTTCAGACAGGAGTTAGCCACCTGTGTGCACTCTTCTAATTTAGGCCTAACTAAGGATGTGTATTAGAGAGAGCCAGTAAACTGCCAGCAGCTACTAATCAACAGTGAGCCATGGTTCTCAAGTCATAGCTCGCTGTGCTTCCTAGGTCATTGTGGGTCAGTGCTGAGGATAAAGGAATCCCATCAATATGGTAGGTGCTGCTGTGTGTGTGCCTAAGTGTGTGCTTACATATTTACATGCATTGATAGACATCAGCCACCTCTCTGACCAGGTAAGTAAGCTGTTCACGTCTGCCTGAAGCGCACGTATATCCTCATCGTTCCTAATTTCTCGCCAGATGTTTGCATCATCAGCGTAGAGAACCATAGGGGGTTTCGTGATATTTTGCAGCTCATTTACGTATAGGAGAAACAGTAGGGGGCTCAGGACTGTGCCCGGTAGCACTCCACTCTCTGCCGGCTTCCAAGTGGAAAGTTGAGAATCGACCCTAACTCCGTCCCCTAACAACAAGAAAGTCTCTTTTTCATGCGAACAGACTACCGGTGATTCTAAAACTTCCTCGTTTTGCGCTCAACCTGGAATGAGGTACTTTGTCGAACGCCTTACTAAAGTCGACGAAAATGATATCTAAAGGTATCCTGTCATTTTTAGGCTTAACCCAACTTTTCTGGCCAGGCAAAAGAAATTCCAACGGAAACTGTGCTGTGAACGAGGCAGTAGAGGGTTGCTCTCTAGATGGGCTATGATTGCTTTCTTGATTACTCTTTCTATGATTTCACTGCAGTACTAGTCAAAATTATCGGTCTGTAATTTGGGGGGAACTGTCTAGAATCTGCCTTGTGGCATCCTTCCGGTCATAAGGAAATGCCTTCATTAAGAGACAGTCTGGATATAGTATTCAATGGCCGGCTACATAGAGTGCAAGCTCCCCGAGCAGCCTTGGGTGCGGTTCTTCTGATCCCGTTGATTTTTCTACATAGAGAGTACTTATAGTCCGAAATACATCACTGCGATCGACATCCACAAAGTTTTTTCTGCTGGGTATCAATGCTTCTACTGTTGAGTAAGTGTCCACAGAGGATTCCTGTGTGAAGATCTCAGCAAAACATCTAACCATGGCTTCTGCTTTTTCACTATCGTCCACAATCAAACGGTCATTTTCAGACTCACTGATTAGGATGGGTATACCACGACAGATCTTATTCCTACAGTTCATACTGTGTAGAAAGAAAGGGGAGTGGAGACAACCGAAAATTTAAACAATCTGTATGTACCGTGAAGTGCTATTTTTGTGTTCTTTTTATAGCCTGTAGTCACTTTTAAGCTCATGATAGACCCCGATACGATACCTGCTGTGTCATTCAGGACAGCTCAACTGCTGGAGATTTCTTCACCATAACCAACTTGATGATGATTGTAAACTGGTTTCCCTCATGTTAAACTCCTAATTTGAGAATAAAATATTTATTTATTTGTATAAGAAAATATCTTCTTCAGATGTTGCAATGCAGCCTGGGCAAGACGTGTTTCAAAGCATATTTGGGACCGGCAAATAGCAGCGATACATCTATCGGTAACTTCTTTGTAATGCTGCACTACTTCAGGTGTACCGAGGTGGGTGACAAGACTCTAACACTTTTTCTAATGGCACAGCAAGATTCAGGTTTCGTAGTTTATCCACGGAGAAATGTGTTAACGTCCCATCGGGATGGTCCATGGAATGAACGGTTGGATCACTCTTGCATGTGACTGTTTAAAATAGCACCATTCGCCTTCAACCGAGACTTCTGGAATGAGTGGCCAGTCCTGCAAAGAGGCTGCCAGGTCGATAGCCTCCACATTCTTCTCCCATATGTTGGGTCTAGCTGGGGCGTCGGCCAGGTACAAGATGTCTGCTGTGAATCTGAAGACGATCATATCGTGATCACTTTGCCAAGGGGTGCTAGGTGCCAGATGAAGTACACATCGTCTGTGTGTGAGAATACTAAGCCTAGAACTCATTGAGCATGATGATGATCATATCTGGTTGGTGTCCTAATGTGCCGTATGAGGGCCAGGGAAATTGGTGTTTCCGCTTATCTGTGGTCAAACGAATTACGTGGTGCTTATGTTGTTAGTTTATCCCAGCCAACTGATAGTGCGTTCAAGTCTTTTACACCTAGATATCGGGATTCATCTGTCCAGAGGGTCAGCTTACTCAGGAGCAGGTCTGTTGCTTCACAATCAGGGCTTCGATAGGTTACGAATACGTGACGCCTGATCCCTCGCATTTTAGTCGGCAGCGCAGCATTTCACATTCCCCGCTTTCATGTGCGAATGTTTCGACGGCTTTTACAGTTGTGATT